AATATTTACATATTTCTCAAGTATATCTTTCCTGAGTAGACAGACCCAAAGTGCACGTCTATCCACCGAATCAAACGCACATTTGATATCGAGGAACAAGACAACGGTGGGCCGCCAATATGTGTGACGGTGCTCCAACAGCTGACGCAAAGTGAAGATGTGGTCAATGCGGCCACGACCTCGACAAAACCCGGCTTGCTCTTCACGAATATGGCTTTCACGAGTGTCAGTCAGTCTATGAAGGATGACAGAGGCAAGCAATTTGGAGGCGATGGAAATCAGACTGATTCTGTTATACTTGCTACATTCCGATCGTGAACCTCCCTTGCAAATTGGGACTATGACGGAGCGGCTCCAATCGGTTGGGACAGATTCCTCCTCCCACACTCTCACTAGTAACTCGTGTAAATCATCCACAAGAGCAGGTCCCCGGAATTTGAAGAGGGCTGGAGGAAGATCATCTGGTCCCGCGGCTTTGTTCAACTTCAACAGTTCGATCTCACGTTCGACTTCTGCACGAGAGGATGGATCCAAAGGGACAGCCCACGGAGCAGAGCGATCAGTGGTCGGCGAGAAATCTAACAATTTTGACCGATTAAATTGCCTTTCAAAGTGCTCAGCCCAACACTCCAAAAGTTTTGACAAGTTGTGGATAGGCTGTCCACTCTCGTCACGTATAGTTTCAGTAACAACAGGTCTCCTGCTGCCCCTTTCCCGTATCAGCCGGAATAATCTGCGGTGGTTACCAAGGGTAGCGGCCATTTCCACCTCTGAAGCACGATGAGACCACCAGGATTCGCCGTTTCTCTTCAGACTAGCACGGAGTTTTGCCCGGAGCTCTTTGCGAGTTTCATTGAGTTCGCTTCCAGCCGGAATATGCCGGCGAGCACCGATAAGTTCCAGAGGCTGTGAAGAGACCCAATGTCCATGTTGGTGATTAGACACACCACATGAGGATTTGCCTGCTGCTAGTAAGTCCTGTTGCATATGAGACCAGTGAGCTTCAATTGCATCCAGTGAGCGTTTATCCAACTCGCATGACAGCGTACTTTGATAGGCATTCAGAACAGCTGGCTTTGCCAGTTGGCTGGTGTCAATGCGCTCACAACGTCGTCGTGGGCGTCCGACAAAACGCATTCGAATGTTAGCACATACAAGTGCATAGTCGGTGTCCACACCTGTGCTCCAAATCCAGCGACAGTTCTGGACGCAGCCTCTCCATCGGTAACTTATCGCAATGTGATCGATTTGCGTCCATAGCTGATTCGAGGCTGGTGGGCGCCAAGTCAATCTCCGACGGGTGATGGGTCGGATATTAGTGTTCGTAAGAAATAAGCTGGCATCTTCACACAAATGAAGTAACCGCTCACCGTTATCATTATGGGAGCCCAAACCATGTTGGCCGCCCAGATGCATTTCATCGGTGGATAATTTTGCAACTTGAGCGTTCAGATCCCTAGCCAGCACTACAGTGTCCGAGCTTCTTCTGTGGCGAAGGAGCTCGTTCAGTTGGCGATAGAAATCGTCTTTTACCAAAACATCGCTAGCATATGTCGGTGCATAGGCAGCGATAACGAATAGACACCTGTTAGTCCCGTGCTGCTTCGAAGCTTTGAACGAGCCAGCCAATCGGACCGCACACAAGCAGCTACTGATTGGAATCCAGTGAACCAGAGCAGCTTCAGCCCGGGGACTCAGGGCAATACCAACACCTGCTTGGCCGGTGCTCGCAAGGAGGCTGGACCTTACCGTAGTGCGATGGTTTGTGTGCCTCAGTGATCCATTGAGCTATGCTGGGTGGTGCTTTTTTGCACCGTCAGAGCTACTCATACCAGATTGGCCAATGGTTAGAGGCTCGACAAACTCAGCTTCCTGGTCCTCCAGCTTGGGGGTTGTAATGAGGATGGCTCCTTATTTCTTAAAAAGAAGTCCTTGTAGCCCAACGCCAAACCCACTGTCTTGTGTACAGGTTTTTGAAACAAAGGCTTTGGTTAGAACCCTAAGCGTTCTCTTGTCTAGGCCTGGGCAAGGTGACAGTATCCTGCCCAGTCAATACAATGAATTTCTCTTCAAACAGTTTTTTGATGCTCTGGCCACCGCAGAAGATAAGCAACGGTGCCCTATCTGCTGCATCGAGCAGGGTGGACAGCGGTCTGGATGCTCGTGCTCAAGTCTTTCTATCTTCTTATTCCCTTTCTTTCGCTTTTTCTGTCTTACCGTCCCGTTGTAGCTTCACTTTTATCCCCCTGTTTTTAACTCCCTAATTCTTGGCCCCCCTATCTTGCTTTGCTTGTATAGTAGTTTGGTCTTACTCGTGAATTCCAGCATCATGGTCTCCTATCATTCGTACTTATCAACTCTAATGAACGACGTGCAGTAGTTTTTGATTGCTTTGTAATTCTGCTATGTGATATCAAATGGGCTGAGAGAATGTTGCCTCCAGATCTCATCACTTCTGTTGATCCATTTACGTGTTCTGTTTCAGAACCAAGTGTTTGTCCTGCGCGATGCTTGTAATGGAACAACTATAGTGGCGGATGATATGACCCAGTTAATTTTAACTTTCACTTCATTCCATGCATCGTTCACCGAACTGTGCGGCTGGAGGTCTTAGGCAACGGCCGTCGCTAACTTGTGATGCTTGGAATAGTTTGTAATAGTTCGCTGAGTTTCTCTATCAACAATATTGGCATAACACATAACCAAACCATAGGAATGAATGGTCGCTACGGCTCAGTGGAGGGTCGTGTGCACCGACTCAAGCATCAACACTTCATTTATCAGGAGTAAATCTAGAAGTGATTGCTGATTTGCACCGCGGTGTCTGGTTGGTCGATGCACATGATTACACAAAACTGCTATATCAATGAATCCAAGGAGCTTCGATTTAAATGAGGACCCATTAGGGGACATTGATGCTATTGAAGGCCCATTGAAGTCGTCCACTGTAAAGTAGTGAGAGTATTTTTTGAAAGATCAGAGTGGAGAGCGTTTTTAAAGTAATGTTATCTTTGTCTACGGAGGAGTTCGGTGGCCTAAAGACGACTGCTAAATGTCAATCATCGCGCGTCCTCTTTTGTGATCCACCCTGTCGGCGTGCTAGCTGAAGTCGGCAAAGTAATGAGTCGTGAATAACAAAGGAATGTACGGTAAGGACTTCACATTTCAGGTAATCTCGACAGTAAATGGCAACACTGCCAACGCGAGATGGACAGTCATTCCGAATGATTGATATCTAACTGAGTTCCATCTCCTGACCTAGTATGTCGTTTGACAGCCAAGTTTTAGTAACTCCTATGATGTCACATGTTGTTGTTTCATGTCGGTGGCGCAGTTCCGGGAGCTTGGAATACAGCCCTTGAGTGTTAGTGTAGTGTTGGCGTATTAGAAGCTTGGTTCGCTGTGTTTGACAAATACAAATAGTACCCGTCTGCTGACGTATTTTTTGGGACGTATGTTTGTATAATTCACTGATCTTAGATAGGAACAACCGAATCTGGATCTTCTGTATCTGGAGCCTGGACTGATAAAGGAGTGATCTAAACGGGATTTATGGTGGCTCAATTTCCATGTTGTCATACCAAGCTTGGATCGCCATTGATTCTACTTCAAATGCACCAAGGTAACTTCGACAGTTTTGGCCTGCTGTAGTGGTAGTTTGTGAGGGCAACTAGGCGAAGGACGTCAAAAGTTAAGACATTTTATATGTAGTAAATCTCCGTGATTTACCTACATTTTACATTGTCATGCTTCAATTTCAGCACCCTACGAACCAGTACCAGTAAGTGCGATCAGAAATGAGAGTCGACGGTCAACGGTGACACATCCGCCAACAGAGAGACTAGACGCTACCGCGTAGATTACCACAGTGCGACCAACATACATTGCTAAGTGCATGAAACGATTTCTCGCAGGAGAACGAAAGACTCCTTCTGAAGGCAAATGAGTCGAACAATGAGGCAAGCGCTCAACGCGAAGAAATAGTTCCTGGTCAACAACGGTCCCATTTGTAGTAGGGTGGCTGAAAGAAAACCGACCGCAGCATCTCGGCTTTATATAACTAATGAGTAGGAGGAGGAGTAGTTTGGAATATGCGGAAACATGATTTTAAGTCAAATCAAAAGAGACTTTATGCCATCCGGGGGTTGGATGTATTTTCAGCATCTGACGGTTGAAAGAGTTTACTTCAAACCCATCAATGAGAACAGACGGAAAGTTACAAATTTACAAGTGAATCATATTAAGCAACTAAGGGAACATAAGGCGACGGATTATTTAGGCAGGTTGGATAATTTGGTAAAGTAAAATGGACATAATAAACATAGATAACAAACCAGTAACAGTGTAACGTTGCAATTGATTACGGAATAAATCCGTGCATATCGAGATTTCGTCAGCGTCTACTTTCTACCTAGCGCCCCTATATATAATAATATATAAGTCATAATGTGTAGATATATAATACAATATCCTTTATAATATATAATAATATAACGATATATAGTGAACGAATATAATAATATATAATAATACTTGAACATGATAATCCGTCCACATTAATACAAGGACGTAAGTTCAATGAAACAAATAGAAAGTAATTTATTCCTCCTGGTTCCAGGCCTGTTTCCAGACCTGCCCAGTGCACAACCCCTATATCCAGTGTTTCTTTTTGAGCGATTTACTGAGATAAGTCACGGCTGCAACACGCCATATATTCATGCACTTCATATTTCAACGTGGTCCCCCTCCCTCCCTTTCCAAGATTCTAACCAAGTGATCTCTGATTGGAAGGTGGTCCACCGCTTGTGCGACATACTGAAGTCTACAGTTTGAATGTGATATTATTACCACATTTTATCCTCAGTTCACAAGTTGTGCAACACTTGGCATTAATGCTACCTGATGCTGGCTTCTTAATTTGATCTCTTGAGTTTGGCTTTACACACATCTTAGGTATTTCCGAGGCTACAAGAAATGACCCCAAATGGCCGAGAACTCACTTGAGAAGTAGCATTCCAATTCTCAGTAAAGTGGAAGATTACCACCTCCCGTTTTCTTGACTTTTCCTGACTCTCCCACAAACTGTTTGATGCATTGTTCTGCAGTTCCATACGACGGCGAATTAACAATCGGCGCCGATAGATACCATGGTTGGATCCTGGCTCCCTTGTTCTTGAAGTATAAAGCACAGGCGTTAATGGACCCACCTGACAGATTTGCAACCTACTATTGCCTATTTCACACCACGGTCGACGAGCAGCGGCGGCATCCTCTACTTCGGATAGTGTCTCGCTGTTGCCACGTTCCTCATCCGAAGAGCCTTCGAATAGTGGTTCAGAGTTTAGTTCACCTGGTCGTAGGGGCCAGTAACGAACTGCTCCTTTTATACCATATCCGAAAGGTTCCATATCAACAATGCAGGAAATCTGAAGAAAGGATATGTTTAGCATAGGCAGTTCTCTATAGAAAATCAACTGGTTCAACGGATGTCAGAGGTACAAAGAATTGCAAACTCTAACTATTAACTATATGGAAGTACTCCGCGTCCTAGATCCATACAAGAGCACTGTTCGTTGCAGCCGGCGTGACCAAAGCATTAAGTAACAGAGAACAAGACGATTAACAATGGAATGCTGTTGGCTTCAGAAAGATGTATCGGGGGAATCTTGCGAAATCACACAAAAATGTCTAAATAACTCCTTAAAAACACTGAGATAGTCGCTACGTGTTTGAAATAACAACCATTTGATGATGTAACTTACGTCGGTAATCTGTCTGCCTATCTGTGATAGCGCACGTGACAGAGTGTGCTCCGACAGTGGTGACCTATATACTATATACGTCGCAACAACACGGACTACATATATTCCATTCAGCACTTATATAAATTTAGCAACTTGAACCTTTTCATTACTTGTTTACAGCTTTGTATAATTCTGTCGGATGCAACTTTTTCCGTACACCGTCTAAGTCACCATTTGTCAGTCAACCATACTTGACTGTGTTAGTAAAGGGAGACAGCGCATTCGCACTTCTCCCACATAATAAGCTCACTCTTGATGCGCCATCGACCGATGGTGGTACATCACACCAACCACGCAGCTGTGGTGCAACCTTCTCACTCGTATTCATGGTCCCACCTTCCCTCTTCTGTGCCATTCCTATTGGCCTGCTTAGGACTCTTCTCTCTCACTGAGTTGATGGCATCTCCCTCGGTGGCTACCTATGCCACATTTCCTGATGCAGTTTCGCACCAGGCGTGAAGACCCAAGGAGTGAAGGGCCACATCATCATTCTTCTCCGTTAATCATTTTGACCTGCTTACATGACCCACCCACAGGGGAGAGCATTTGCTTTCACGACGGCTGTTATCTAATTGACATTTAACTCCGTGGTTTCTTTCTTGAATCGTCATACACGGAAAGCAATGCAAAACGTCTTAGACGTGGCTAATACTATTGATAGGACTTCCGATTAAGTATACACAACTCTTCACAACGCAGCTTCATCGGCAACATGTTGTAAGTTCAAACGTTCTTATGAAGGGATATGAGCAGGTTTTTTTGTTATCAAGGTTTTGACTAGAAGTTTCTGTTTCAACAGTTCCTTGTTAACGACCCGATGCTTTTAGCAGTTGACAGTTTTTCCTTGCTCCACCTACACACGCGGTCAGTCAAGGTATGCCGTGCATCGACCTAATTTGCATGTTGAAAAGTAGCCAAGATATAAGGAAACGAGAAGCTGCGACGGCGCACAGCATACGCGACACGTTATCCCATACAAGCTGCAGAAATCCAGGGAAGTTCGTATAAATCTTTGCATTTTCGTCCTGCAATGTATACACGCAAATACAGTTTGCTCGCAGCTGTGTTCAAACGATCGTTCCCGAAAACAGCTCGCGTCTCGCTGAGCCAGAAGATAAACTGAGTTGCCCATTTACTCATTTTCCTAAGTACCGGTCTAACACAATCTGAGACATTAGCGCATTTGGCGGCTACATATTGCCGCCCAGATAGTTTAAGTAGGATTTAAGCTAAGTCACACAGACGCGTGCTGGTGTCCGGCGCTATGAGTAAAAGCGCCTATGTGTTGTAAGAAAGGAAAGTGGCTGATGGCCCATAAAAGCGTTAGCTAATTAGAGGGAAACTAAGCGGCAACCACAATGTGGTAATGTACTTCCTCACACTATGGTCAACGAATATCACAGACTGAAACGTGACAGCACCTCAGTGTTTCTTGATACCACTGCCTAGGACTTCGGGATGTGTCGAGTGCCACTCCGTTCAAATGAGCAATGATAGAGTTCTGCACCTCCCGACCTAGTTTTATGAATTCAGGTAGTGAAAAAAACGCCTAAGATTTCTTTCTATTGCTTGGAATGCATTAGATGCCTCAGTCGAGAAACCACTTCTAGGGTATCTGTGAAAACTGAAACGTGGTCAGACAAAGAGTCTAAAGATTGATCGGGAATGGTGGTCAAATGCAAGAATTCGTCCCGTAAAAAGTAATTAAACAAAGAGAGTTCGGACCAATGACGGATAAGTTGAGAAAATCCGATAAATGACCTGGTCTCTCTGCTCAACATTCATAAACGTAAAGATGTGGTGCCAATGGACTAGCGGCTGTAAATTATTATTCCATCCTCATGAAATGATACACAACGGGGAATTAGGCCCAATAACAGCAATTGCCAACTAAGTATGATAACGGCACTGGCGCGCAAATTTGTCTCTCAGATGGCCGAATGCACAAACACTGAACTGCTTTACATCAAGACATAGATTGCAATGGCCCGTCCATTAGCAGTTTGCTTGACATTGAAAAAACCCATACATACAGGCAGTCTACCACCTGCCTTGCGGACAGGCTTTTGAGCCAATGGCTTTGGATGAGGATCCTAATCGTCCTCCTGTCTAGGTCTGGGCGCCCTGGCAGTATCTCAGCCCACATACAACCATGACATTTTTTTCAAGCAAAAACTTCATCCTGCATCGGCCGTAGCGCAGATTATCAAGGGTCGTCTTATCTGCTGCATACAGAAGGGTGGATAAGCGAAAACATGCCACTGCTGGCGCCTCCCTTCTTTCTCTTTCACCTATTTCTCTTACTTCCATCCCGACCCCCATTACTAACATCCCTTCAATAATTCCCAGCTTAATTGACAGCAACCGAAGTGCCACTGAGTAGAACCATCTGCAGCCACCATCCCACCGCACCTATCGGACGTCTATCGGCAAAAGTCCCTTATAAAGCCACGCTATCCCGTTTCCATGGCGACATTCAACGTCCGCACTCTAAGACAAACAGGTCAACAGGCTGCACTCGCACACACCTTGGACACACTGGGTGTTGATGTGTGTTGTGTGTCCGAAACTAGGATTAATGACCCTAACGGTGTCATTGAATTAACTGCACCCAGCTTATCCTCTCGTTATTGGTTGCACGCATCCGGAGACGCCGATGCAGCATTCACGAGTCAAGCTGGTGTAGGTATCATTCCAGGCTCGAAGGCTGAGCCATCGTTGGTTGATTGGATTCCGGTGAATAGCCGTTTATGTGCAGCGCGTTCGACGACATCAGCTAAGGTTGATTCAAGAAATAATACAAAACGCTGTTTGTTTGTGACTTCCGCTCATGCTCCCACGGACTGCAGTTCTAATGCAGTCAAGGACACTTTCTATCACGAACTGAACGCCCTACTACGCAGTGCTACTAGTTCAGATATTATAGTAATCGCAGGGGATATGAACGCACAAGTAGGGCGTCTCAGCTCTTCAGAAGCTCAGCTGGGTGGTACTTGCGGACTTAACTCCGAACTGACTGACAACGGTGAGCCTCTGCTGCAACTGTATGCGGAGAACCGGTTGTTTCTTAGTAGCATTGCATTTAGACATAATGGGCGCCGAAGTGCCACTTGGCGTGCTCCTGTAGCTGGCGAGCGATGGATCCAAATTGATCACCTACCCATAAGTTACAGATGGCGTGGTTCCACCTTGGATTGCCGCACGTACTGGAGTACCTTGTCGACTCTTATCATGCCCTGGTACGCTGTCGTTTCTCCATGAAATTTACCTGGAGGCGCACCAAGCGTCTCCTCCAATTGGCAACTGAGAAATTGTCCCAGCCCTCGGTCAGGCAAGCCTATCAAGACACACTGCGTACCGAAATTTTGCTGTTTTGTCCTAATGACACTGAGCTTCAGTGGAATAGGATCTCGGCCGCCATGCACGACGCAGGAGCATCAGCGTGTGGCACTATCCATCGTCACCGCACCAATCACTGGATATCCGAGAAGTCGGTGAACCCGTTGGAATCTAGAAGACACCTCTCAGCTGGCTCTGAACACAATGTGACTTGAGGATCTATTAGGCGTGAACCAAAACAGAGCCTACGTGCTGACAAGGAAGTCTGGTGGACCAGTAGGGCTCAAGAAATGGAGGAGGCAGGAGCAGTAGGCAATTACCGCAAGCTCTTCCAGCTAATCCGCACCAATGGTCCCAGAAAACCAGGCGTCAGTGAGACAATTAGAGACAGCGCGGGTGCGCTGATACACAATAAGGAGCGCCGTATGGCTCGTTGGGCGGAACACTTTCAAGATCAGTTCAGCTGGCCCCCTGCTCCCGGACCACTTCCTACTCAAGTGATGCAGGACGAGCCATGGACGGTTAGTTTAGAGCCTCCGTCGGAGGTCGGGGTTCGAAACGCTATCACAGCTCTCAAACGTTTTCGTGTCGTTGGCAGGGATTCCTTCCCACCAGCACTATTTAAGGATGGAGGTGAGGTCCTCTGCAAAGCACCGCTCTCCCTATTCGAACGTATCTGGAAGGAAAAGTGTTCCGGCTAATTGGATCGAGTCGATCATAGTGGCAATATACAGTAAGGGCAGTCGCACAGACTGAGCTAACAACAGAGGTATTAGCCTAACGCCAGCTGTGACAAAAGTATTGGCCTCGATTCTCGTTCGTCGCCTCACTGCGGAACGGGAATCAAGGATTAGAGAAGAGCAGGCCGGTTTTCGCCCAGGATGTTGCTGTATAGACCATATATTCACTTTGCGGCAGGTGCTAGAGCAGCGCCACGCATACCGCAGACCGACAATAGCTGTGTTCCTCGATTTCAAGGGTGCGTTCGATTCAGTCGATCGATCGATTCTGTTCGAAATACTTGCGCGGAAAGGTGTTCCCACGAAATATGTGAACATCCTTCGTGCTCTATACTCGAACACTACAGGCCGCGTCAGGTCTACGGTGTCCTATCGGATAGCTTTCCGACCACAAGTGGCGTTCGTCAGGGTTATCCGATTTCTCCATTTTTGTTCAATTTCGTCGTGGATTCTATCATGGAGTGTTCCCTTGCGGAATCTCACGATGTAGGCGTTGAAGTGCTGCCTGGTGAAAGGTTAGTTGACCTAGATTATGCGGACGAT